CAGGAAGACTGACAGAGCAAGCTTGAGATCAGCTCTGTAGCCCACATACTAAAATTCATATAAAAATGCTTACGCAGTCTCAGTCCTTCCTGTAGATATTAAACAGTTTCACAAGCTGTTTTGGCACTTGGACACAACCTACCTCAGCTCTTCCCCTAGAAAATCTATGCTAAAACCTACAGGAGTCTGCACAGTGGTTTTTGGTGCTTCCTTTGACCTTTCTTGACCACTGAAGTTCAGTATATGTTAAACAAGAAGAATAAAGGATTTTTTTAGCACGAGCTACTGCAAATTATCTATTTATATTGTTCATATAGCAGCAGTTTGAGCTTTACAGTTATCCAGTACTTTTCTGAAAGGGTCAAGATTTTACTTGCCACCACCTTACCCTTCTCAGGTTTTTCCCCTCTTGAAAGCAGCTGGGATCAGCTACAGGGTTTCTCTGTCGGTCCCCAAGAACCAACAGGAGAGCACGGCGCATGGGTGCCTTCTGCCCCATGCCGTGGAGCAGAGGTAGGTTGGTTCAGTGGGGCCTGAATTAAAGTGATATTTTTCAGGCCCAGACACCCCAAGTGTAATTACTCAGATGTGTTCTTAGTTCCTTCAGCTGCCATGTATGAAAACACAGCAGGTCTGGAGTGCAGGATGTGTGCAGAACCTCCGTGGTACATGTGTGTGCCCCTAAGAGCATCTTAGCAGGACCCTTCTCTGCAGGGCACTTCACTTTCGTTGTTTCACCCTTGAGAGTTTTCCACCTGTGCTCCAGATAAACCCAGATACCTCTTCTAAATCAGAAGGTAATTCTGGCTGCCTGTTTGCAAGGGCATGTGAAAGCAACTGAAGGGATTGTTTGTGCCAGGGGATGGACACTGGCACTCCAGCACACTTTAAATGATTAAATGCTCTTAGGTGCTCCTCTTAGGTACTCATACTGCTCTCCAGTAAAGCACAGCTCCCCTCTTGAGGTCTCCCAGAAACCTTGGCTGCTGAAAGCTATTCCCATAGTAGGAGTGGAGTCTAAAAGGCATTACAAGAAAGAACTGGGAATGCTTGTGGTGTTGGCTAGTTGAAATAAGTGGAGGTAGTCTGCTGAAGGAGGAGGCTCTGCACGACCTTGTGGATGTTCACAGCTGGTGTTGGTACATCTGTGCTGGCTGCCCAGTCCACGCCTTGACAGACACACAGGCCAAGGTTTTGCTGTGGGGCTGTGAACTTGCAGAGCACCAGGCACTTGGCCTTCCCTGCTCCTGCACGTGCTTTGTCCTGCAGTGACTGAGAGCTGGCTAGGGTGTGTTAGTACCTGCAGACAGAGAGCTCCTCTGTGTAACTAGATGAAATCATGCCCTGGTGCTTGTTGCCATCCTGTGTCTGAGCTCCCTGTCTCCTCAGTTGTGCTGATACAGCTGCTCTGGCCTGTGCATGTCCCTGGGTGAGCAGCTGGCCTTTCAGAGGGCTGATCCTCCAGGTTGACAGATACCACCAGGAGATGTTGTCCTGATGCACCTGCATAGGGCAGAAGAGCAGCAGGGCAGTGGAGCCCCAGAACCAGCCCTGGCGAGGCCTCAGCCTCTGCTGTTAGGTCCTTCCATATTTAGGTAGTTCTGCAGCCTGAGCTCCAGAGAGCTGACTTGCTCATGGCTGAGACTCAGTCAGTGCACAGATGCTTTCCTAAAGCAGGATCAGTGTAACCACCTTCCTCCCTGGGGCTTCTGGGGCTGTGTGAAAACACTCCTCTCCTCCAGAATGTTAGGGAGGGAAAGATCACCTTGGCAGGAGTGCTTAGGCTGTCTAAGGTGGTATTTTTAATTGGCATTTAGTAGATTGGTCAGAATAAGTAGACTGAGGGGAATAATATGAGAGAGAGAAAGAAGAGGGGAAAAAAAAAGCTTAAAACACCACTAAACCTAGAATATTTATAAAAATAGCTTTATTCCACTGCAGAAGTAATCTGGTTGTGAAGTTATGATCAGTTAACAGAGCACATCCTTGAATTAAAATTCTGCCTTGTGCTGAAAATCTAGGGAACATTTGAAACTGCACATTTATTATTCATGCGTTCTCATTAGTCGGTCAAAGCTTCTGAAGTCAAGATGAGTATTAAGGTCATAGCCAAGATTATTTTTATTACTGGTAAGAGGGTCATACAGCATTATGTCTTCATATTTGCAAATGATTGCACCCTAGCTGGTATTTTCATTTCTGCCTTATGTTCATTTGCTTCGTTTCCCCTTCAAAACTGTGTGTGCTGGTTATAATGTTAATGATGATAACTCAGGCTACAATTTTGAGCTGAAAAGCTTTACTGTGATATTTTAGAGCCATTATGAAAGTCTAACTTGTCTTTAACATGTAGACCTAATTATGCATGGAACAACATAACATTCCAGATCTAATGAAGGAGGTACAACCTTAGAAATAGGGCACTTCTGCAGAGAGACAGAACTCAAAGTTTCATCTGTATAACCTCGTTAATACCACAGAGAGGTCGTAAGAGGGACCAAGAAAGCACTTTTACTTATTGTTTGCACTTTCTAGCCAAATCTGGGCCATTTTTTTAATCCTGCAAGTGGTCCCATTGACTTCACCCGGGATCCATGCATGGGGAAGTGAGAAGAGCTCCCCTTCTTTCACTTAACCTTTCTTTGTGAGTGTTTTCAGTCCCTCCCGTGGCACAGAAATAGAAGAGTAATTAGGAAACATGATTATGCCCTTTTCTTTATCGCCTTGCAGATGCAGTGATGGCAGAGAGTAACCTTGTCCCCAGCAGTAATTACACTGGCTGACTTTTCCCCTGCTTAGTTAAATGCTTCCCCTGCTTAGTTAAATGCTCTTGAGATTGTGCAAGCCACTACAATGCTTGGCACCAGCTGAGACAACGTCCTGTCCCCCTTGGGACGGTCGGAAGCAGCACGGCCCTGGCTCCCACCAGCAGCCTGCTAGGATGGGCTTCCATTTCCACTCCCATCTCTCTTCCCAGAGAGTTTATTTTCCACTGTGTCATACATAATTAGCAGTGCTAATAAATATTATTTGGTAAATAGAAAAGTAAATTGTTCATTAAAATCGGATATGCTGAATTATCAGTGCATCTTTATCTTATCATATGGGAAGCCAAAAGAGGAGATTAAGTCCAGTCTGGTGGAAGGCATTTTGCTAAGCAAACAGAACTGCCAGCTTAGTGGCAGTAAAAAAATCATATCATAATGTTCCTAAAAGCACTGTGCTGCTGTTGGCTCTCTGGTTGCAGGGCAGAATTCACCAAGTGCTGTCACTTCAGTTATTTTCTTTTTTTTGTAACCTATGGAGAGCTGCAGGTTGTTAAGCCCAGTTACCAGCAGCCCACAGTATGTCCAATAATGTAGAAAAAAATGCTGGACGAGCATTCTTAGGTGCTGCCCTGAGCTGCGTGGGAGACTTTAGCTGTTCAGTCACTCCTCTGACCTGCATATCAAGCCAAGAGACCAGAGGTCACTCCCACAGTAGCTGCCAGGGGTCTGACAGATAAGGCAGAAGCACCACATGCCAGATTCCCCTGGGGTTTGCCCCAAACCTTGGAGCAGGCAGACTGCAGCCAGTGGCAGTGTGCAGGTGCAGTGGCAGGGG